CCTCAGCAGCTTTTGAGGGAGCAAAGTGTCGCAGCTAACTAATAATGCCTGCCAGGGCCACCATAATGATGAGGGGCAAATTCCTGCCCTATGTTCACCACTGTCACTATATTATCCAGAAGGAATGTGGTTTTGCTAACTTAGTTCACTGTTGTTTGATGAAGAGTGAGTGGACTAGAACACTGAAATGAGGGTTTACCACAAAGGAGTTGTCTTATTTGCAAGTGTGTAAACATCCATAAAGCAGGGAAAGATTTGGTTAGGCTGAACCTTTTCACCCTGCCTTTGTTTGCTTGAGTTATTTATTACCCTGGACTTGCTAGACCTTTTAAAAAGTGTTACTGATATAGACCAGGGAAGAAGTAGGCAGGTATTTCAAATGTATCACAGTTTCTAAGGAGATCAAATATCTTTTCAAAGCCTCATGGATTTTTAAAACATGAAATGTTCTTCTTGGTGGATAATAGGCTCCAATACTCTGGGTTTCTAACCTCCCATTCATTAACAGCAAAGCAGACTTGTAGCAAAGGTGGGTTTTTGTTTTTTTGTTTTTTCTTCCTGCAAGCAATTTGTGACTCCTTTTGGGGCGATAACTGTTTAAATATAAATAAATGACCAGCTCCAGTAGAATGATTCCAGTTTTCTCACAGTGTTTACTTTCAATTTATTGTCAGTTCTCTCATTACAACTTTCTTCCTGCAAAACACTATCCCCGGCCTGATCATGTATAGTATAGTCCCATTAAAATACTTCTTAGATATGAATACTATGTTATTTCCACTAAAATATCTTGCAAGAGGCTAAAATGGACTCTATCCATATTTGCAGAACCATTTTTGCATTCTCAAAATCATTAGCACTATCACATCTGGCTTGAGAAGATGTAAATAGCCTAGGTCCAAATGGTCCTGGGTTCCCTGCCCCAGGCATTTCTGAGGTAATTAAGTAATGTTCCTTCATTTTTATACATCAAAATTATCTTGAAATGAATTTGGTTTCTTTTATTCTGTTTAGTTTAGCCAGTAGTCCCATGTCATTTGCATTATTTTTAAGCCAAGGACAGATTGCTTGGTACTGGAGATTTCCATGAATTACCATTTATGGTTTATTTATTTATTTATTTATTTATTTATTTTTTTGGTAAAAATCAGGTTTTTTGAAAATAGATTTGTTTCCAGACTATATTTCTATCTCTGTATACAATCTTAAAATGGATTAATGCAGGGGGCGCCTGGGTGGCGCAGTCGGTTAAGCGTCCGACTTCAGCCAGGTCACGATCTCACGGTCCGTGAGTTCGAGCCCCGCGTCAGGCTCTGGGCTGATGGCTCGGAGCCTGGAGCCTGTTTCCGATTCTGTGTCTCCCTCTCTCTCTGCCCCTCCCCCGTTCATGCTCTGTCTCTCTCTGTCCCAAAAATAAAAATAAACGTTGAAAAAAAAAAAAATTAAAAAAAAAATGGATTAATGCAGAACACATAGTGAAACCCTAATTTTCTTCTGTAATTATATATGTGGCCCTCATAAATTAACATCCTAAGACATTTCCTGTGTCATATATATTTAACCGTGTTTCCCTCCACCTCTTTTACATTACTTTGGACTTTTGACAATGCTGTATGTGTTTTTAAAGGTAGATATTAAGTCTAAATTGCATTTATTTCATCACTGGATAGCCCCAAGAAGCTCACCATTATTTTCAAGGGTGAAGGATTGCTAATTAACAGAAAGTAGCCTTGGTTGTCAAGGGAATAGTTAAGATATTCCTTGATGATATTAGGTTCGATCCTGAAAGTATAATGCTGAGAAAAATTTTGGATGTATTGCGCTTATTGGTCAGAGAAAATATCGATTCAGTATTTCATTCAGCATTTTATTCTCCGTTTATGAAAACACTAAATAACGAATATGAAGGGAAGAAGAAATCAGAAATTGACATAAATACCTATAGGATGCAGAGCACTGTTCATGAAATAACTGGGAAGACCAATATAAAGAAAACGTGGTTTCTTAAAGTTTCATTCTCATAATTTCAACTGTATGTCCCTTTGATAACTTCACTGACATGTAACACAGATGCCTCAAATTCAGAATGTCCAGAGTTAATATTGTAGCACCTCCACTTTCCTCTTATTTCTATAATCTGGGTTAAGAGCGTCAATATATACCCAGGTATATTAACTAGGAATTCCAAAGTTTCCTTTCTTATCACTCAACCATCTAGTCACCAATAGCCACATATTTAATCCATTAAAATGAGTTTAGGATATCACCCCCACAATGACAATTTTCCTACCCTATTTTGTCTCTTTCCCTTTAGCACCGTACATCCTAGTAGACCACTTATCAGAGAGCATTAAACCTTGTGGTTTGTGTGTCTGTGTATGTATATCCAACACAAGCACAGTGGTCGGCACAAAATATATAGTAAGTAGCTAAAGAAATACTTAGATGAATAACTGTGCAGATAGAAGGATGGAGGAATAGACTAAAAGAATAAATGAAAATTCAGCATTTCCAGAAATGTAGATGCACTTTCAATGGAGAGTTTGACTGAGTCACACAGTTCCATTTGTGTCAAAGTCTATGTGTTTTGAAACTGAACAACTCTTGCAAGGTATAACCCCTATATTCAGGAAATGGTGTAAAATTTACAACATGGGGTTTTAGAAATCTTCTTACAGATGATGCTGTAAATTTTAAGCGTCATTGAAAGTACTTTTCGTGAAAATATTCATCTTTTTTTTTTTTTAAGTTTATGTATTTTGAGAGTTGGTGAGTCGGGGAGGGGCAGAGAGGGAGGGAGACAGAGAATCCCAAGCAGGCTCCGCACTGTCAGCCCGGAGCCTGACGTGATTCAAACTCACAAAATTGTGAGATTATGACCTGAGCCAAAATAGAGTCGGACACTTAACCAAATGAGTCACCCAGGTGCCCCTGACAATGTTTATCTTTGACATAAGGAATTAGACAACACAAATATCAATCGATGGAAGAATCACATTTCAGGAACGTCTTCCCTCTTTCTCTATGTTCAAATCACAAAATGAGAATGGTGTAGGGAAAGAGAAATCTACTAGAATTTGAGTGGGGTTAAGAAGAAAAGACTAGTACAGAGGCAGAAAAAGAGCTAGAAAAACCCTATAGAAATGGCTATGAAACAGCTCCCCCACCCTTATTTGCTTTTCATGACTGTAATAGAACAAGATGTGAGGAAACATCTGTTACGTTTTTAAAATAGTACTTTGATAGTTTTTAAAAAATGACAGAATTAGGAGAAGCCTGGTTCTGTGGTTAGGGACAGCAGACACGTATGAGATTAAATGGGGAGAATTAATTATTCTAGCATAGGTTGATAGAATGTGATAGATTGTGGCTTCATCTGCCATGCATGGCTCTGGGAAGTGACATCAAGCAATGGTTAGCCATGGACTCTGTAGTTAGGCTGTATGGGCTTATGTCTTGGCTTTACCACCTAGCTGCAATGTGATATTTGGCAAGCTGTAAGGCCCCTCTGCAGCCCAACTAGGCATAATAGTATTACATTCAATCTCACAACCATCCCTGAAACAGGTAAGAAAGGAAACTGAGGGGGCTCAGACAGAGACTCACACATAGTCATATTTTTAAAATTAACTGAAAATCAGGCCACTTCTCCTAGACTAGATCTAGGGACTGAATGGAATGTCCAATATGAATAAAAAGACTCAAGCAGGAAAAGATACAAGTCTGGGTTTTACTCAGAGTTTAAGCAGTACATATTAAGGAATGTATTAGCTAACTTGAGGAACGGTGGAAATCCAGTCCACTTTAAGGCTGTTATAAAGCTAGGAACATCAGCCCTGGTAAAGGCTTAGAGCACGAAAGTTGCTGAGCTCCATCTAATAGTACAACCAGGCCTTAAAACTGTGTAGTGAATGTGCTTCGGAGAAACTAAGCAAGTATAAGAGAAACCTGCAGGAATCAGGTTTCAGTCACTGGTGCCATGAGGGTGAATCCAAGCAAGGAATATGCCCAAAGGCCAGGACTGAGAAAGGCTGAGCACTGGGCAGGAGCACAACTGAGGCCAGGAGATCTAGTCACAAAGAATTCAGGCTTCAAGGTGACACTAAGAGTCAAAAGTGAAATGGTTGCTCTCACCAGACTCAGTCACGATTTGCATAGAATGGTTTCAAGTTTAAGGACAGGCTTCCACCCAAACAGAGTTAATAATTGAGATAGGTTCATTTTGAATGATAAGGTAGTCACTGAAAAACAAGACCCGGAAATTAAATAGTGGTTCAGGTGGTAAGTTTTGGAGGAAAACAGAGGTCCTGACCCCTACTTTTTGCCCATTACTTCAGCAGCAATTTTATTACCTCACTAAACATTCTATCATTCCTACTTCAAGGACTTTTGGAACTTAAACCATGCAGTTTAATTAAAAGGACAAATGCAAGGTCAGACACCTCCTAAGTAGCCAATTAGTATTGCTTGTTAGGACTTCATTTGTCCATATTCATTTACGTACCTTGTTTGAAATGCCATAGTTACAGTACAAATCACAAAACAGAATACAGTTATATTAACTAAGTTTTCCTAAGCCTTGTATTAAAAAATTCTTACCATGTAGCCTTAGTCTTTTAGTGTACTTTCTTTAGAAAGTGAATTTTTAACAAAACATGCCAGTTGGAAACCAGGTCTCCGTACTATTTTGGACAAGCATAAAGGAGAGCCATTTTTAAATAAAACAAATTCTGATTGTGCCAACAGTGATCTGTCATTAAAATGGGTACAGGGGAATGGCCAAAGTTATCCTTTGGGAATTCAAGTTTTAAGAAACAGTTTCTTATAATTTTAGGTTGGGAGTGTTGTCTAGCAGTCTAATTTGTTCAGGTTTAGCTGACCAGGTTCCTCACTCACTAGCTTACCCCTTGCCACAAATCAGTATCCACCCTACCAGATAGCTTGAATGAAATCATTGGCTTTATATTTCAGAGCTGTCTCACTCTCAATCAATGTATTAGGTCTATTTACAGGATTCCTGCATCAGGCTGGGAGAGCAAAGGGGTTCTGAAGAAGAGACAGGCTATCATATTTTTGCTGCAGAATTAGACACCATCTTTCTGAAAATGGAATCTGTGGTAAAAATTTCCAAATTACTTGTAATTCTTCTCTTTGGATCCACTCAATTATCCCAAGATTTGCTTTCAGAGAACCATTTAATAATGCAATAGATGCATCTTGTCTTATTCTACTTCTACTAATTCTATTGCTCAGAAGCAAATCAACAGAACTGTCCCTGATACCATTCTCCCCTCTCTTTACCCATGGTACACAACAGAATTAACTCACTTTATGAATGACTCTTACTCATTTTTGAAACCTGACAGACTTATAGGAAACTGCCAATTGGCCAAGGGGTATGTTATCTAGCTTCTAAAGAAACTGTGACTGATCTAATTGTCCCAACATTTGCTCTCTAGCTCTTTCTTCATTATTTACACTTCTACCTGGGGGTATAATGGAAAAGATGAAAAAGTCAAATTCAGCCATGTAACTGGCCCTGGTATTACCAAACTCGTGTATGAGCAAAGTCCTGAAATCACTGGATGAAATAAACCTTCAGATAGTCCTTGGGTTTCATTAATCTAGTGGTTCTCAATCTCTAGCATGCATCAGCATCCCCTGGATCACACATTTTTGATTCATGAAGTCTGAGAGTGGCCTAACAGGTTTCCAGGTGATACTGATACTGCTGGTTCATAGATTATACTCAGAGAATCACTGTACTAATCCGTGCTTGGCTTCTCTTCTATTAACATGAATAATCTAGAATTTGCTTTTCCTGAGCTAGCTTTCAAAATCTGTGCTCTATAAATTAAACATTATGGGGTAAGCAGTCATTTTGGTATATGTGCACGTTGTACAGTGTAATAGATGTGGTAAAGTAGTTACTTTATGCATTTGGTTGATTTAATTCACAAAGCAGTCAATTATCTATTTGCTGAATCATGGCTGTAAGCCACAACTCTGTTTCTTTATATTGTGGGGTCAATGTAATAATGACCTTTAATCTGTTTTTTTTTTTAATAGTGAGACCTCAACTCTATGGTATTACAAGGAATTCATGCATAGAAAGAATCTTCCATTGTTTTCCCCAATGATCTGACTTTATGAGCTTCTTTGGTGACGGGAGTACTGAGAGCTCATTTGTCAAAAAAAAAAAAAAAATTAAGTTTAGCATCACATTTATTTAGCTCTAATCAATATATGGGCCAGAGAACAGCCTGAGCAACAGCACCACAGAGGCCTTAGATGTAACTTCTAATGTGTCCAGTCACTGCATGGGATGTACTGTGGTCACAAAAAATGGCAAGAAGTTAAAGTGAGAGCAGGTCACATCACATAGGGGAACCACAGAGTGTTAGGTCCCTTAGCTTAAAAACTTTGCTAATCACCTTGCACCGAGAAGGTTGTATATACCTAACTCCCATTTGCTAATGCAGCTATAGCCCATCAATCTCAAGGAGGAGAAACATTCTTGCAATTCTTCATTTAACTGCAATGGATACATTTCCTTAGCCAACTGTTAATTCTTTCCTTTTACTAGGTCGCTTGTAAAATCCTGGCTGAAAGGGAGTCTGGGAAATGTAGTTTTGAACTTTTCCAGCATATATAGTCCAGGAAGTGAAGCAGGTTGAAACAGATATTGAATGCTTTTGTATACAATATATACCACACTGCCAAACTGGTTAAAGACAGAAAAGAGGTGAAATAAAAACATACCTGGTCTTAGAGTCTAACGATGAGCTTCTAAACCTACTCTAAGTTGTGACTTGTAGTATTTTAAAAGTTATCCTACCCAACAGTGTGGCATTATGGTACAGTCTTTAAGGACTTCATCACTTAAGCAAGTATAAACTTGTGAACATTATAAGACCTCTATATGCACCAGCTCTCTCATCACAAAATGCAGTGACAATAACTGCTCCCTCTAGGGTGCTTGTGAGTTAAATGGGGAAATACAAAGTTCTTAAAATAGTTTGCCACAGAGTGAGCATCAATATTTCATTAGCATGTGGCTATAAGGGTCTTACTGAATGCTCTCTGACCTACAAGAACCTAACATAATTATTTTTGTAGGAGGAATGTTCAAGACCTGAAAATAGTTAAATAAATATTCAAGCCCAACAAATATCTCATGAAAGGCAGTGCAGCATGGCTACGTCTCTCTGCTTAGCTGCCTGCATCCCTACGAATCTTGAGCTCAAGCTCTAGAAATGCTTTATAAAAAGATACTTCCACTGGAACAGCCATACAACTGAGATGTAACCCTGAATACCCTTTTATTCTGCAGTTCCTGCCAAATGCCTTTTAAACATTTGAGTAATTGTCACTGTTACCAATCAGCCTAATGTAATAACATGAGATGTTCCACTTTGGAAAACTTGTTACATTGGGATTCTTACATGCTAAAAAGAGCTTGGGCTTTCCAGGTAGTGGAGTTTTAGAAAGCTGTGCCTTATAGAGTACCCTCTTTTTTTAATCTTTTTACCTTGGGATTACGTATAGAAGAGAATGACTTCTTTGTAGCTTGTTCACTTTGTCACGTAATAATTTTCTCTTTTTGGTCAATATTGAATATTTGCACAAGCACAACACTGTTTGAACTGTGCAGCTACACCGCCATCTTGTGAATGATGTGCTGTGACTAACCCAGATGTATTTCTTTGTCCTCCCACTTTAGCTGGACAGTGCCACATCACTCATCCAGGCAGCTAAAAACCTGATGAATGCTGTTGTCCTCACAGTGAAAGCTTCCTATGTGGCCTCAACCAAATACCAGAAGGTCTATGGGACAGCAGCTGTCAACTCACCGGTTGTGTCTTGGAAGATGAAGGCTCCAGAGAAGAAGCCCCTTGTGAAGAGAGAAAAGCCTGAAGAATTCCAGACACGAGTTAGACGAGGTTCCCAGAAGAAACACATTTCGCCTGTACAGGCTTTAAGTGAATTCAAAGCAATGGATTCATTCTAGGACGATAGGCTTTAATAAAGAAAGCATTTTTCCCCTTTCCTTTTCTTTTTAATCCCATTTTTGTATGCATACCTGCTGACTCGTATGCCTCTGGCATGGGGTAATTAAGGGAGCAGTGTCTGTTTGCATGTAAGATAAGATGTGATCAATACTACTGATTCATCAGTAGCCAGGGAGGGAACAGGGACTACCTGTCCTGAGGTGGCACAGAGCTGTCCTTTGCAACATTCTCATAAAATTGGGCAAAGAGTTCGCATCGCAATGTTTATGGGAGTGGGTGGGATGGGGATAATAAACTTAATTCTACAAAAGCAAACTCTAATGCATGCAAGAATCATTAGGTTGGCAGGTATCTTAATAAGTGAAAAATCTGGAAGTGTAATGGTAGAACATAAAGCTTGTATTGCTTCTGTTTCAGTGCAAAAATGTACTAGCCAATACGCTCAAGTGTGTGGCCCACAAATTGAACAATTTAACTTTGAAGTCACATCCATGATATTATGTGGATTTTTTACTAAGGAGAAACTAACTCATCCAGCCAAAATGTCTCTTTTAATCTGTATTCTATTCTTTCTCTCGTAGTACTGCCATTACTAGTGCTCATATTTTCAATTTTTCCCCCTTTGCTGAAAATAAACACTTATTTGAGACAATTCTAATCCTTCTGGGAGCACTGGAAGCACAATATGGTGATAATTCTTTTCCTTTAAAAAATGTGAACTATGGTATCGCTAGAAATAGGAGGCCCAGTGGTGGAATGTTAGAAGAATGGAAACTGACGACGTGTGAAGGTTTAGAGGCAAATACATAGGTGTAGCTTGGAGTGCTGGTATCTAATATGCCATTGTATCCACTAACTCAAAATAAACACATATAATCTGGACATCTGAAGAATGCTTCTTTTTTTAATGCATACTTAATAAAAGAAATGCATTTTGTTTTTTAGAAATTGGAGGTAAAAGGGTGATATCTCTGCATCATCTCTACAGTCTAGAAATTGTTTTGGTTTTTATTTCATGTTTTCCTACTTGTTTTTTATTCACTTTCAAATAATCTAAAATGACAGTGTCATGTCTGAGACTTATCTGGGCCATATTCAGCCCTGGGATAAACTTAAGAAACATAATGTGTTCTCAAAAACTGGAAAAAGTCAAGGTTTGTAGGGAGGCTCATTAATTACAAAATATTTGAATTTTGAAAAGAAGGCCTCTGTCCCATTAGCAAGGAAAAGTTGGCTGTAGTCTTTCAGCTATGGCTTGAGAAGTGAGGAAAAAAAAAAAAAAACCTAAATGTTCATCTGAGTGCCCAAAACTCCTTCATTTGAATGATCCATACAGGTTAGCGTATTACATTATGTCTCCAGAACACTTCGGGTAAAATAAGGTGTGTTTCTTAGCAACATGATACTGCATCGGGAGTCATGGACACACATGCTGTGTTATTTTAGGTGCAAGGTCCTAAAGAGAAGAGACCTAGGAGTTAGGGAAGGAGAGAAGCTTAGTTAAAATTTTATTAAGATATGATCCTACTTACCATCTGGACTCAAAATGATGTATCACAATCAATGCTGTAGACGGTTTTCAACACTAATTATTATACAGCTATTTCAATTAGACTGCCCCCTTAATTTGCATACACATTGAGAGAGGCACTCATCGGCACTCATTCCTTCACACGTATTTATGGAATGACTTCTTGGAGCCAGGTCCTAAGCTGAACCTACCACCCAGTGAACTTATTGGCATCCTTCCTTATTAAGATTTGAATATGGCATCACTTTCCAGTTTTGTGCATTATTCTACTATGATTTAACAGGTTGAAGGAAGTAAATATTCTTCAGACCAGCCAAGAAACTTAAAATCAGAGACTCCTTGACAAATCCTAAAATATATTCGGCAGGCATTAGAGAAACATAGAGAATGCCTTTGGCTTTATTCTATAAATTTTAAGTGTTTTAATACATGATTATGAACAACGTTTATGTGTATGTGTTTTCTGGAAATCAGTCCTTAATTTTTAGTTATTTTGTCAGTGCTCCCTGAGTAAACATTATCATTATCCACCATTGTTCTTCTGATCAAGGAGAGTACCTACTCAATAAGTTAATATAGACACTTTGAGAGCACTACAACAATGAAAAGGTTTATTGTTTGTTTCCTTGCCTTAAGAAACATAAGTCTAATTGATATGATGTATAGAGAAACGAGAACTTTAAGTAAATATGCCAAGAAACCACTATGTGCCAAATGAATGGGATAAATTGGTAACTACTCAAAAAATGAAAACACATTGAGTACTAAATTATTTGGGGAAGGATTAATGGAAGAGGTATGAGTAAACAATAAATATATTCTAAATGAGTGAAAGATATAAAAAATTTGGTGATGACTGGGGTGGAAATTCAAGAAAATGCATACCTCAAGGTCTGGAGACCAGCAAAGTTGCAGGAAACATGAGCTTCATGTTGGGACTAGTGGGAAATAAATGTGGAGATGTGGTACAAGGCTAAACTAGAGAGGGTCATGAAGGAATGTGACCATTATCCAACAGGTAATTGGAAAAACAGGAAGGTTTTATTGTTTTGTTTTGTTTTGTTAGAGAGCAAGCATGTGCAAGCTGGGAAAGTGCAGAAGGAGAGAGAGAGCAACCTAAGCAGGCTCTATGCCCAGCACAGAGCCTGATGTGGGGCTCGATCTCACAACACTGACATTATGATCTGAGCTGAAATCATGAGACATTCAACCAACTGAACAACCCAGATGCTCCAAGTAATACAGAGTCTCTAAGTGGGGTGATGATACACACAAAGCAGTGCCTTCATAAGATGTAACTGATAATATGAGGGATATGAAGGCTGAAAGGGACTGATGTTAGGTGGGACAACTGTGGTAGAACTAAAAGAACGATTTGCAGTTACTTCTTGAATAACTAGATGTGGGGTAAGAGAATGATTAAAGTACATAATTTATTCAGGGAGACTAAAGAGTCAGAAAACTGAAAATTATCTACAAAGGATAAACATAAGCTAGAAAAAAAACTGAATATATGGTACATTTGAGGAAACATGGTTCTTAATCCCAAACAAATGGAGTTACTTGGGGTATTTGCTACAGAAATTGCATTTTAGAATGCATGAGGATAGATATTCCTAATGGGAGGAAACTAAATAAATCTCAATTTCCTTTGACTCTCTGTTCAAGGATTGATGGTTCAAAAGATTAAATTCTTATAATCTTTAAGGACATAAAATAACCAGGGAAACATAGGTTATCTACAGATCTGTCGTTTCTTTTCATTAAGTGTTCAAGAATATGATGCCAACTTTATTTTTAGAAGTTTTATAAACAATAAGGTCATGCTTTTAGCCCAGGGAGAAATAGCCTATATAAGTGGCATCGTCATGGTCATCAATTTTTTAGCATAAGTAATATGGCACTTTGCAGACGCTTGAGGTATAAAGATCTATAAAGTACTGTATATAGTTGAATCATCAAGCAAAATAAGCACTTAGAAATACTGTGACAATAAACTGTCATCTCTAAATTTGCCAGTAATAGATTATAAGTCATTTGATTTTTATTGCTGTGTCATTACATATTAACCAAGTGAAAGGGGTCAGTATTTACTCGTCATCTAGAGGATTTTTAAAGGTAACAAGAGGAAGTGAATTACCTACTGAAGGCTGTTAGTAATAATATATTTTTTAAATACACTAGTGCTGAGGAGTGCCATCAGTAAGATGGTGGACTAGGATACTCTAGGCCCTTGTTTCCAAATGGAAACCCAAAGTAAATAACATACTGACCACAGTATCTTTGTGGTAGCTCTAGAAACTGGTTAAAGATTTGTAGCGACCAAGCAAATGTCAACCAACAAGAAGTCACATTCCATAGGGAAAGAAATTTTGGAGTGTTACTGCTCACCCGTGCCCTGCCTCTTCCCTTGCACAGCATGGTCAGTGGAAAGCTGTCCAGTTCCTAGTTCCTCCCATGCAATAGAAGGGAAAAGTGAAACTTGTTTGCATTGCTCTGGCCATTTAGGCCTTTCTGAGGAACTGGTTCCTGTTTTGCTTCACTTGGAGCACTGGTGGAAATGGGGCATATTTGGATATCAGGTTGGAAGCCACTGAAAGCAGTGGAAGTCACCATGGCCATGTAAGAGCTACAGGGAGACTGCAGGCATGTAGCCTCCTAGAGACAAGAAATTATGGGCAGAGGAATACAATAGAACATCTAAGACCTTGAAGTCAGCCACGTATAGGGAAGGGCTTTGGGGGGGCTGGTGCACACACACAAGCTCAGGGAACAGGCATGCTTAGAAATGCTTGATAAGACCATAAGCCTTCCTTCCAGGTTGATTAATGAAGGTCTTTTCCTTCAAAGAGCCAATAAATAAAGGCTTGAAAAGCCCCCCCCCCCCTTTTTTTATTACCACTTATATGTTGCCTACAAGTGACTCACATTACATCTAAGCAAACACACAGGTTGAAAGTGAAAAGATGTTGGCGGGGAGGAAATCCATATACATATACATAATAACCAAAAGAAACTAGGGGTGGTTATTCTAATATCAAACAAAATATACATTAAGTCACAGAGCTGTTGCTAAATACAAAGGACACTATGTGAAAATTAAAAGGTCAATGCACCAGAGAGATATAAACATTCGTGCACCAAACATCAAAGCTCCTAAGGCAAGCACTGACAGAATTAAAGAAATAGCCATAGAGTAATAGTAGGAAACCTTGATACCCCACCTTCACTAATGGGTAGAACAACCAGACAGAAAATCAAGAAGGAAATAGAAAACTTGAACAACACTATAGACCAATTGGACCTAACAGACATTTGCAGAACACTCCACCCAACCTCAAGTGCACCCAACCTCAACTGGCAAATAAGTTTTAATTAATTTTAAAAGACTGAAATTATACAAGGTATTTTTTTCTGATTACAATGGAATGAAACTAGAACAGCAGAGAGAATACAAAAATCCTAAAA